GTATAGGGTTCATAGGGCTTATAGGGCTTATAGGGTTTGGGGCTTGTAGGGTTTATAGGGCTTATAGGGCTTATAGGGTCTAGGGCTTGTAGGGCTTATAGGGTTTATAGGGTTTTTGGAGTTTATGGCTTATGGGGCTTATAGGGTTTGTAGGGTTTTTCGGGTTTAGAGCTGATAGGGTCGCTGGAAGCTCTTGAGGTCCTGACCGAGACGCTGCCTCCGCTCGGCGATGGCCTCTTCCGGCCCCTTGGAACGACCCCGAGGCCCCGAAAGCCTCAATTTTCGCAGCCATTGTGTCATTGTTCTAATTTTCGTAACTTTTAATCACTACTATGATTATGATTATGATTAGCGTTATGATTCAATGCAGGAAAGACGGTGATCCTAAGCTGCTGAGCCCCTCAGCGCCCCAAAACGCTATAGTTTTTGCTTCTATAGGATTTTGTCATTGTTTCATCGCGGTTTCATGGAAGGACTATAGGATGCTGAAGGTTGTTCTTGCCGGGTTTAGGGTTTTGGGTTTAGGGTTTAGGGGTTTAGGGTTTAGGGTTTAGGATGTCTTGCTGGTGGCTTTTGGGCCAGGATCGATCGGAAGCAGCCCGTTACACTGTGTTACACTGGGCCCCCAAGTCAATTCGTAGGAGTAGAACCGTCCGGGGTCTTGTTCAGGGATTTAATTTAAGCTGCCATACTACGCAAGCCCATATTATTTACCATAGATCCCTGTTATGGCAACTTACCCTAAACCCTAAACCCTAAACCCTAAACCGTAAACCGTAAACCCTAAACTTCCCTATTTATGGCAACTTAAAGTTAAGTTCCTTAGCGAGAGCCCAGTCGTCGGAGGGCTCGAGCTGTAGCCTCCCCGGGCTGAGAGCGGCAGATCTTCGGCAATTCCTTAGGCTTGCATAGTTTAGAGTTTAGGGTTTAGGGTTTAGGGTTTAGAGTTTAGGGTTCAGGGTTTAGGGTTTAGAGTGCAGGGTTTAGGGTTTAGGGTTTAGGGGCTTTCTTCAGTTAGTTCTTTTGTTTAAGCAGGTTTCTGAAACTGTGAGTTGTGCTGATCCCAGCTTTCTGCTGTGGCTGAAGGGCGCCTTACTTGCGGGTCCCTGTTTAAAGATCCTCAAATGTTGGGAGTCTCGGGATACTTGGAGGTTCATGGGTAGTTACAAGTGGGGTTATAAGTAAGGTAAATTATAGCTATAACCCATATTAGAGGCCTTATAACCATACTTACAACTAACCATGAACCTCCAAGCACAAGGCTGGACATCAGTGAGATCCACGATCGCGACCAGGCGTTGGTCCAAAGCCTGCTGCTGCTGGGGCTTCCATTCAAAGCCCGACCTCAAAACTCCAAGACTTCCTAGACCCCAAAGAACCTACGTTTTTAGGGGCTTATAGAAAGAAATCATAATAAGGAGCCCTAAAAGATAGGTTTTATAGGGTCCAGGTAGATCCTAAACCCTAAATCCTAAACCCCAGATCCTACAAGCCGAAAGCGATCAGGAAGTTTGGGGGTTTCGAGCCTTTTTTGCGTAGGATAACCCCAAAGGACCTGCTTTTTTGTAAGGGCATTTTAATTTTAGTCCTAGGTAGTATGAGGGAGACCCCTTAAAGGGGACCCTTCTTAGCCCTACTTCTGGCTCTCTTGAAGGGGACCTTATTGAGAGGGTCTATATCCCCAAGGGTCCCCCTAATCCTAACTCCTATATAGGGAGGTCCATCTTCAGGAGCCCTATAAAGATCAGTTTTCTTGAGGTTCAGGTAGGGCCTAAGATCCATACAGTTGAGGATATAAATCCTGCATTAACCTTTATAAGGAATATACCATAAGTCCCATAGTTTAGGGTCCTAAACCCTAAACCCTAAACCCTAAATCCTAAACCCCTAAACCCCTAAATTACTAAACCCTAAACCCCTAAACCCTAAACCCTAAACCCTAAACTTAAAGGTAATGCAGGATTTCTATCATCAACAGTACAGCCCTGAAGCCCCACCTCCCCTCCCCCAGTCGTGGCCTTTTGGGGTTTCTGGGTTTAAGGGTTCAAGCTTCGGGTTTAGGGCTAAAGTTTAGGGATTCAGCGTGAGGGTTAGGGGTTTCGGGTTTGGGGTTTAGGGTGTTGGGGCTTATGATTTGGGGTTTAGGGTTTGGGGTTCGGGTTTTAGGGTTTAGGGTTTTGGGGTTTGGGGTTTTAGAGTTGAAGAATCACAGAAGTCCGTGTTCAAGTGTTCCAGTACAATAGGCTCCGACCCCTCTTCTAGTTATTGGCGTCATTAGGGGTAGTTCTCTCGACTAGGGTCCCGTTTGTAGGTCCCCCAAATCGTACGGCACCCTTAAATTGCAACCAAAAAACACCCTAACAGGGAACCTGACTTAGAGAACTACCTCAAGGGACTGGAAAACACACACCTCAGCCCGGCGCCAGTTGTCCCCTGCTGTACTTGGAGGTTCATGGGTAGTTATAAGTGGGGTTATAAGTAAGGTAACTATAGTTATAGTTATAACCCATATTAGGGGACTTATAACCATACTTATAGCTACCCATGACCCTCCAAGTGTATGCACCACATCCAAGACCGAAAGCCCCGCGCGGCGGGGCTTTCGGGCTCTAGAGCTTCACTTGTCACTTGGGTAGCTTTCTAAATTAGGGTCCCTTTTTGGGGGGTCCTTTTTGTAAGGGTGCCGTACTATATTGGGGGACCTAAAAAGGGACCCTAATTTAGAGAACTACCCAGTTACCGAAACTTAAGGCCGTCTGTTGAGGAACCGCTTTCTTAGCAAATGGCGGGTTTCAGGGTTTAGGGTTTAGGATTTAGGGTTTAGGGGTTCAGGGGTTCAAAGGTTTAGGCTAAACCCTAAACCCTAGACCTTAAACCCTAAAACCTAAACCCTATACACCAGTTGGGAGCCAAAGGGACAGACCCTAAACCCCGAGCTTTCACTACCTTCCCAAGCCCAAGATTTGTCCAGAAAGGGCTCCAAATCTTACCTTTGGTTAGTAGGGAATGGAGGAATGGGAACTATTATAAGTACCATTACTACCACTCTTCCATTCCCTACTAACCAAAGGTAGGAAATCCCGCAACTCTAAGCCCTAGATTTTCCCTAAACCCTACGTAAGCCCTAAGCCCTAAATCCTAAGCCCTCAACCCATCCGCCCTCGAGGCCCAGAGTCCTCAATCCGAACCCCCCGACACTCCCTAAGTTAAAGGAAGGGCTCCTACTTGGAGGCCCAGGGGACTTAGTAAGTGGGTTATAAGTAGAGTTAAAAGTTTTAAGTACCCTAAATGGAGTTACCCTAATTTACTAAGTCCCCTGCGCAACCAAGTAGATCGGACATTTCCCGAAAGCCTTAGACCATCATCTCGGACATTCAAAACCGAAGCCCGAGAGCTTAAAGGGTTTAGGAAGTCGGGATTCTTGTTCAGGGATTAAAATTTAAGCTACCATAATTCGCAAACCATATCATGTACTATAGATCCCCATTTATGGCAACTTAAAGTAAATTCCTTAACAAGAACGCAGATTTGGGCCCCAAAGTTCGCGACGCCCCTCAAGGAAAGGTGTGGTGGTGACCGTCCACACCCAGGACCAGTCCTTCAATGCCTCGGTGCAGCCGGGAAGTGACTCCGGGAGGTGGCGGAGGGAGGAGTGGGGGGTTCAGGGGGTTTAGGGTTTAGGGTTCAGGTGTTTAGGGTTTAGGGTTTAGGGGTTCAGGGTTTAGGGGTTCAGGGGGTTCAGGGTTCAGGGGTTCAGGATTTAGGGGTCAGGGTTGTTCCTAGTGCAAAAGTACACATAGCCACAATCATAACAGTTCCTAACACTAACCAGGAGACAAACAAAAATGTAAAGCACGAGCGATTGGAGCGATGATGATGATGATGATGATGATGAAGATGATGAAGATGAAGATGGAGATGAAGATGAGGAGCAGGAGGCGGAGGAGTAAACTTCTTGATTAGCAAGCTGTATTTTCTCGTGGCCCGTGGCTTAGGATTTCGATTTCTGAGGTTTCCATTTTTCTTGTTGCCGTGTCAGGGTTTAGGGTTTCGAGATTAGCATTTAGGGTTGAGAAGTTCAGCTCTACAGGTTTGGGTGTTTGGGGTGGCAGGGATCACGCTCCTGTGTAGGGGTGTTCTTGAAACCGTTGTTCGGTCGTAGAAGACTACACTGGGCTTCGGGTTTCGGATTTTCCAACTGTTGAAGAGGGTCTTCGGATTTTGTTGACAGGGTCATCCTGCCATATTTTTTTTTGGGGTTTAGGGTTTAGGGTTGAGGGTTGGCTAGCTGCCGTCGGTATGAGACCAACGTCGACTTGTCCATGCACGCTGTGGGCGAATCTGCAGATGCGCACCCGCTCGGTTTGAGCTCGCAGGTGGTTTGCCCTACATGTAGCCAAACATGGGCATGTCCTCTTTATGTAGGCTACAAACGATTGTTGGTGCGGTTGCCGGCCTCTTGCGTAGTGCTGCGACTGCGGCATCAGACTTAGCCTAGAGAAATCAAACCTCTGCTTCCAGCAACCGTCGCCACTACGTTTTAGCCAGCTTCATGTTTTCATCTCCTCCATTGAGACCTACTCAGCAGTGCCAAGATGCGTTGGCAGATTGCAGACGGAAGATGCTTCACGGGAACTTACTTGAGGCTAAGACTGCTACTTACACTTGACTTGGCCCGGAAGCTCCAAGATGTACCAGCTCAAGTTCAAGCGTTACGTGGACGAGGAGTCTTATATGTGAATGTGAACCAGAGTGAGGATGCTTGTGCCGCATATGATGAGGGTATTGCATTGGCGGGCTCAACTGGTGATTCTGTGGAACATTGCACGCTGTTGCACAACAAGGGTTTTGCTCTTCTAAGACAAGGCTGTCCAGAAAGGGCGGCAGAGAGCTTTGCTGAGTGTGTCAATGTTGCTCGCGATGCTGAATCAGAAGACCGTCAGATGAGTGATCGTGATCGTGAACAGATAGCTTGTGTAAGGCTACAAAGCTGTGCTCGTATGGGAGCTGCTTATTGCAGACTCGGTCGAGTGGATTCCGGGTTGGAGTTGTTAAACGAAGCTTACGCTGAGGTGTCTGCTTCCAAGGATTCTGATTGGCGGCATTCTGCTTATCTGGTAGCTCTCACACAATTCGGAAAATGCATGTGTGGATTTCCATTGTTGGATCCGTCTTCAAGTGCATTAAAGGAAGCCCTCGATGTGAAGCGTGGACTGGAACTGCTCCTGGAGGCAAGAGAATTCGTGATGCAAAGGCCTCAGGGTCCTGGAGCTATGTACAAAGGATCCCTGAAAGAAGACATCTCACTGATGATTGGCCTGGTGTATGAATTCACGGGCAACTTTCCCGCGGCAATCGAATATCTGAAAGAAGCAGATGCATCATCATGGCAACGCTGGCTTCACCTGCATGAGGATTCTGTCAGTCGCTCATTCAGAGATGATCCCCTAGCCTTTATCATCAGTGTCAGCCTGCAGCGTGTGCTCCTGCGAGCAGGTGATGCCAAGGAGGCTTTGCGAGTAGCAGAGTGTAGCCGGGCGCGGTCCTTCGTGGCCCTGCTTGTAGCAGAGCGCTCGGGGGTAGCACAGGGCCCCTCGAGATTGCCGACCTGTGCAATGTGGCGGCTGCGAACAAGGCTGCGCTCTTGTACTTCTCGGTGCTAGCAGATCATGAAGTTTGTGCATGGGTTGTGAGCAGCCTTGGGGAGTTTTGAGGACACGTGCTCACCAACGTTTCGCCTATGTTCAAGGAGGAGGACTTGATTCTGGGGAAAATAGCGGAAACTGTGCGTGGGGATTTGAAGACGCCCGAGACCAGCATTGCCCAAGAGTCAGACGAGGATGCCAGTGAGGCAGACTTTGATGCAAGGGGCTGGAGACTACCCATAATCAGCAGACGGCAAGCGCAAGAGCGTTTGACGTGCTGCTATAGAGCTCTGATTGAGCCAGTCGAGCATCTTCTCGACGGGGAACAGCATCTCATCATTGTGCCGGATCATCACTTGTGGATGCTTCCCTTTGCAGCACTCCAGCTGCTCCAGCTCCCGTCAGGCAGGTACTTAATCGAGAAGTTCTCAATCAGGCTGGCCCCATCTGTTCAGACCCTGATGCAAATATCCCGGCGGCGGGAGCAGATCTCTCGAATGCCAGCAGTGGCCCCAACTGCGCTGGTTGTTGGCGTTTCGGAATTCAGTGGGCACACCGAGTTGCAACTACAGCCGCTGCCGTCAGTTCCCTCTGAGTGCAAGGCAGTTTGTGATGCATGTGGTCGTGCGGAGATTGTAGTTCAGCACGTGATGGAAATTAAGCCAGTGCACAGAGTTTTGTTGACCGCTGTCCAAGCGCAACTCACTTGATTCACGTTGCGACACATGGTCTGCTGGAGCAGTCAGCTTTGGTCTTACACGGAACGCCGGCATCTCGGCTTGCAACACCGGTCGGGGCTCTGTGGGTGCCGACGGAGTCTTTGGTCTAACCCGCTCCTTCCTTGTGGCCGGAGCTGGTTTGGTAATGGGCACCCTCTGGCACACCGGTGATGCTTCCAGCGGAGTCTTCATGAGCGGGTTCTACTCTTATCTGCTTGACAGCGGCCTGCCGGAGCACGTTGCGGTTCAGCAGGCGATGTGTGCCATGATTCACGAGACCGATGATCGTGGCAAGCTGAGGTGGCGGCCGGCCAGCTGGGCCCCTTTTTTTCTGGTTGGTTCCGCCTCACCTTCGCCAGTGCTTGGAAGTAGCCGTAGCATGGAGGATGACAACGGATACAAGGGCACCGTGGAGTGCAAGACGATGCTTGCTAACAGTAGCGGTGCTGTACCAAATTCTCAACTTCACTTCCAGGGACAGCCCCCAAACCCAACACCCTTATCCCCAAGTCCTAAACCTAAACCCCAAAACACCCGGAAATCGGACGCCCCCCCTGCAGCTTGCCAGGCTGATTCTCTCAGCCAAGCCCGAGCTGGCCCACGCGGAGGGACCGTACAAGGTTCCCAGTCGGATGCGAGGGCGTTGGCATTCGGGGTTTAGGGTTTACGTTTTTCCGGGTTTAGGTAATTCAGGGTGGTTTAGGGTTTAGACTTAGGGTCTTCGGACCCCAAACCCTAACCCGTAAACCCTAAACCCCTAAAGGGGTTTAGGGTTGAGGATGTACGACCAAAAGAGGTTTTGCACACTGGTCTGGTCTGTGAGGTTCTTCGGACGTAGTGACGTAGTGTTCCGTAGAAGAGGCTTTAAGGGTTCCTTTAACTACCAGGGTTTTTGCTACAGGAGGGGTTTTGCGGGGCTATGTTGCTTATAGTATGGAGGGCCATAATAAATAGGAGGTATTGTAGTTAAACATAGCCAGGTGCCGCAACCTTGATCCCTCAATCGGCAGGTTGTAGATGCTTGGACTAGCAGCGTGAACCCGACTCTAAGGGGCTCAAGGCTGTTTTAGGGGTTGACCCTAAACCCTAAACCCTAAACCCTAAACGTTTGAGGGCTTGGGGCTTTTCGTGCTTGAGGGCTCAGTACTTGGAAATCGCCGGGTTTGCAGTTGATTATGTTCGAACCATGTCTCAACATCCCTAAACCCTAAACCCAAAACCCAAAAGAAAAACCTAAACCCTATAAACCCTAAACCCAACCCTAATCCCTAATCCCTAATCCCTAAACCCTAAACCCAATTCAGCCGTTTCCTAGCCGACTTTCGACCCGAAGCCATGGCGGCAAAGCACAATGGGGTAGTTCTCTAAACTTAAATTTCGGGCCCCCTTTTTTTGGTCCCCCAGTATAAGTGCGGCACCCTTACAAAAAAGAGGACCCCAAAAGGGAGCCTAAACCCTAAACCCGAAACCCTGAACCCTGAACCCTAAACGCTACCCAACCAAAATTGCAACTCTAGCGCCTCGGAGGTCCGATTCAAGCCGCACCGCTTTACGCAGACGGCCATGCATCGTGCACTGGAGTCGCGGCGAGCGCGACAGGCCAGGGTTTAGGGTTTAGGGTTTAGGGGCGAGCGCGACAGGCCAGGGTGAGCGGAGTTGTAGAGAGATTAGTGTGGACGTGAGTTTCTGGGTAGTTTTGAACGAGCAACATTGTATAGATCCCAAAACCCTAAACCCTAAACCCAATTCCCAAAAAGTCGTCGGAAAGTATTGCAACCACGCCCCTCAATATCTTTTCAGTGACTCCAAAAGCTCTTAATTGCTGGTCCCCGATTCAGATGTTTGGGGACTTGACGACTTAGTGCGTATTTTGCAGAGCTCAAAAATTAGGATCCCTGTTAGGGTATGGATAACTCTCAATAATATAACTACTGTTCTTACTAAATCCCCTGACCCTCCGACTAGGATTTAAGGATAGATTTTATACTTTCCCGACTAATGGAGTGTCTCTGCAGAGCTTCAGGTGCTTGGCGAGGACCCGGGTGAGGAAACCACAAACGTGGCTCCCGATGCACAGAGCCCCGGCCATTTCATTCAGGGTTTAGGGTTTCCTAGGTAGCACCAGGGAGACCCCGTAAAGGGGACCCTTCTTGACCCTACTTGTGGCTCTCTTAAAGGGGACCTTATTGAGAGGGTCTATATCCCCAAGGATTCCCCCTAATCCTAACTCCCAGGGTTCAGGGCTTAGGGTTCTGGGCTATCAGCATCTCCGGGGGCCAGCTCTTTTGTTTGTGTGGGGAGAGGTCTGGCGCTTTCCTGAAGTCTTCTTGTACAGCCAGAGTCATAGCGGATTTTGCGATGTCGAAAAACGGGTTTGTGGTGTTGGTGCCTCGGGGTTTAGGGCCGTTTAGGGTGCTGGTTTCAGTGCCAGGAGAATGAGGCCGCTTACAACCAGAAACAGTTGCTTAGATGTTGTTTAGGGTTTAGCGTTTCATCCGTGTTGGTGCACAGAACGCTTAAAGCCCAGGCACTTACTTGACACCTACGCCCGAAGCGCCAAAAGCAACCAAACCCTGAGAACTGAGCCTTTGACTCATACACCCTGAGTTAGTGTTACAACACACCTGACAGCCATAGAATTATAAACCCGATAAACCGAAATCTCGGCACCCTGCACCTGAAGCTTAATCCCTAAATTCAACACCGAGACCCTTATCCCAGCAACCAGAACCGCCCGAAACCCTGAATCTTAACTTCGGAAAGCCTTTCTTCTAAGGCCCCTCACACCCTCAAGCCGAATTCCCCAGCTCTTGAAATGAATCTCCCACTCCCTAAACCCTAAGCCCTGAACCCTGAAACCCTAAACCCTGAACCCTGAACCCTAAACCCGAAACCCTAACTCGCGTGGCTCGCGAACTGCAGGCATGCGACCGCCGCAGAGCGCTCTCTACCCTCGGCGCTGCCCCTGGCCTAATAATTCGAAGGGCTCCAGAGGCGGGTTTAGGGTTTAGGATGTAGGATTTAGGATTTAGGGTTTAGGAGTAGTAGGCTTTAGGGTTTAGGGTTTAGAGATGGGATGAAGGTAGGTGGGGTAATCCCAAATAAGAGTCCTCATAAAACGGATCCTTAGTCCTACCTACCTTCATCCAGCTGAGTTGTACAGGTGCTCGGGTTCTTCGTTTTTTGCAGTTCTTGAGGGTTTCATGGGTTTTACGAGTTTGTCCTTACGGTTCGAGTAAAGGGCTTAGCTTGGGTGGGCAACAGGGACATTTTTGTAATATCATGTAATATAATATAACATGATATAATATAGTATAATATGATATAGTATAATATAATATAATATATTATACTATACTATATTATATTATATTTTATCATATTATATTATATTATATCATATTATATTATATTATATTTACATTTATATTTATATTCATATTTATATTTATATCTATATTTGTATTTATATTTATATTTATATTGTATTATATTATATTATAGTATATTATATATACATATATACATATATTCATATATACATATATTCATATATACATATATACATATATACATAAATACATACACACACATATATATGTATGTATATGTATTCTTATATTTATACATACACATACACGTCCCCCCACACACACACACATATATATATACACATACATACATACATATATATATATATAGAATATACATACATACACATCATACACACATATCCACCAAAAGAACAGGTATTCACTTCTATGCAGATCGCATGAATTCGGGTGCAGACGGTGCAGCCATGGATTGCGGTTCAGGTGCCATCCCAACGGGCCATGCAGAAGCTCAATCTCGCACATGACGGGATCGCCCGACAGCTGCAGCAGCAGGCGCCTGGTTACGAATATTAGCAGCGAGAAGGATAGACATGACGATGGTAATGATCGCAAGCAGTCTGAGTCCAAGTGTGCGATGGCAAGAAAAATAGAAAATGCTCGTGGTAACAGTAGCGGAATAGTACAGGTAGCAAGACGAGGAAGGATGACACCAGCATATACACGACAATTTCGCACTGCTGAGAGCAGTAGTTTCGGTAGCAGTAGCATTCAGCATGGCACCAGCAGCCAGCAGAACAGCTATCATGGCAAAAACCTGGACCCCTACTAGTCTTGATAGTCGTACTGGCAAGTACAGCCCTACTAACTAGTACTAGTCTGCACTGTGGCAATAGCGAGAAGTCTTACAGTAGCAACGATAGCAAGACAAAATCGTGGCCTGCTTTGATGCTTTGTCGCTTGAACCTGGCGCCGACCTGCACCCTCCAACCTGTCCCAAAGCAAGACGTAGGGCTCCTTGGCCACCGGATTCACAGGAGGCTGAGCTCATGACCCTCCGGAGTGACCGGGATACCATGCAGAAGCGCCTCCAGAATGTGGAAGAGGAGATGGGAAGAATCGTGAGAAGAAATTTGGGGTTGGAGAACCTGTCGTTTTCGAAACGCCAAGACGGGGGGTTGCTAGGGCAGATCCTGTGAGTACACTACTTTCGGAGTCTTGAGAAGAACTTGTGTGCATATCGTCCTTCCTGTCTGTGGTTCAAGGTAACAGCTTCCGGACTCATGTGACATAATGACATAGTGCCTAGCTAGCGACTCGTTCGGCAATGCAGGAAGCTATGACAAAGAAAACCCCATAAGCTGAGCCGCTGTGTGTCTTCTGCTGGAGTCAGGTACTTCACAGGAAATGTTGTTGCGCTTGTAAGAAGCGGCCTTCTTCAATCAAGCTTATACAACCTGTGCAGATGGCGCGTATTCAGCGTAAAATGCGAACCCAACCAGCCAAGCCGCAAACTAGCCGCACGCAAGCTTGTGCGATGTACAAGCAGTCAAGCAATCCTGCTTGAGTCCCTCGATGTCCATGTGGCCATCACCTCGGCCATGCTTGCCCCTCGTGGCTGAGCCGCCCCGGTTTGGCCGGCGTGCGGGTTCGCGTGATAGGCCGGGATGGGGAGCCACAGTGCAGAGTCCGACCAGGCCGGAATTAGCAGCGAAGATTGCCTCTGCGTAGGTCCCTGACACTGCGTGCCGGCCCGGCCTTGCTGTTGGCCGTTTCTGCATCATCGCACCAGCCAGCGAGGTGCGACGGGTCTCTGCAGGGGAGGCTCTCCGAAGCACAGGCTTGTTTTTACGGCCAAGCTAGCAAGAATCGCGCTCGAAGGCGATGGAGAAGCGTGATGCGGAGCAATGGCATTCGCCAGCTTGGTGAGACGATCCGGTGGCTCGCACTCGATGTGGAGATGCCGGGTTGGGTTTTGGATGCTGAGTGCGGAATTGAAGAGAGAGAATGAAGAGCTGTTGATTCTAGATGATACGGCAGCTCATTTCTCAAACAGATTCTTAGCCATGCAGTGTTTTCGATTGCAGCCTGCCGCGAGCGGGGCAGCGTTGGACCAAACGGAGCAGGGCCCTCCTAAGATACTCGGTTCGCCAGTGCCTGTGCAGGGTTGATCATTAGGCGAGACTACCATCGTCGCAAGTAGAATCCGGACAGCTTCAGACATGATCTTTCGAGTGCAGCGATGGCAAGATTGATGACCATGACACTAATCCTCACAAGCAAGATAAAAAAGCACCGAGCACCAAAGTGCCAAGCCCAGGCAGCGCCTCTTTGGAAGTGAAGGCCGGCTCAAGGCACGTTGGGGCTCTCCGGGCACGGTGATGGGCGTGTTTTCCCATAAAAGGCTCCATTTCATGAATAGCTCTGATCTTAGGTTCGCGGGGATTAAGGACCCCGAGTGCGGCTGCGGAAAGGGTTTCATCATGATCTTCACATGTTTGTGGGGGGGGAGTCCGTGAGTGCTGGCTGGTTCGGCCACAGGAGCTTCCGAATCTGATGAAAACGCCGCAGATGATCTATGAGGTTCGCCGCGTTAGAGGGTCACACGGTTGACTTAGCTAAAGCATGTTTTTTTGATTCATGTGGCTCCAACGAGGCTCTATACTTAGAGTTTAGAGTCAGCATAGGCTGTGGACACCTGCCAGGAGAAGCTGCGACCTTTGGAGAAACAGCTCCAATTTGAGAGCTTCTACGACACAGCCGAGCTAAGTGCCGCATACTTCACGTCGAAGCCGATGGTCCTCGTCCTAGGCCAATACTCGACAGGGATTCTCGGCATGATGGTAGCTAGTTAAGCTAGTTCTGATGACGCTGACTGCGGTGTTGCGAGGATCATCGGTGATTCAGCCGCGCCCAAGTGCCCTGTGCCCGAGGAAAAGCACGCTGATCTCGAAGCTCTTGAAGGCCAGTTGCAAATGTCAAGGTTTCACTGCTTTTCGAGGCATGGTTCTAGGTGCACTGCAGCTCACTAGGCCAGACTGAAACAAACCACTGATCGGAATTCAGCTGGCAAGCCGGCTTGGTGGGGAGTCGGCCCTAAACGACTTGATGGACCTTTTTGCCGTCAACAAGAAACAACAGTTCCCCCAAAGGCATCAAGCTTGCGAAGTATTAATATAGGTGCTACAACCTATGTCTCTAGAACTGTGATGAACTTTTGCTTCTTGTTGCGCGCAGGCGGAGTATCCGGGCCTCCGTATTGGACCCGAGCCGACCACGGACAAGCCCCTCGGCGCAGCGGAGCACCGACAAGTACCCACCTTCCCCCGCTCGTTGGCCCATCTGTAAGACGCCACGTCAAGATGCACGAGCACATAATGAAGGATGAGGGAACCACTCATGCGTCACAAGGAGTTGTCCAACTATCTCATTTGGGATCTGCTTGCAAGGAAGAAGAGTTGGTTTTTGTTACTGGTACGGGGGGCCTAGATCCAATGCCTTGAAGCTTGCCGACCGTGTGGACCGAACTCTTAGCTACTGGAGAAGGCTAGCTCGATGGTTTCTTAATCTGCATCAGCCCTCTTCGTTCGCAATCCCGGCGCTTTGGAAACTGCAGATGCACCAGTCTAAGTCACACGAGGGCAGTTGCAGTCTGCATCGGTGGCGAAAATGCGTATGGCAGGGAGTGCTTTCAGCACGGCACTCGAGGGCATGCTGCAACACAATGAGCTTCAGGTTCGTGGCCATCATGGGTGGCCCCTCCCGTCAACAGTTGCCAGGACAGATGGTTCCCGTCGTGGTTTCAGGCTTAGGGTTTCTGGCACCTCTGCATGTTTAAAAGGTGCTAGCTCCGCTGACCTCGATCAAGCACGGAACGAGGGTCAGGCTCTGTACAGAAAGGTGTAGGCTCTCAAGAGCTAATTTGGAGTTCTGGAGTTGAGTAGATGGCCCCGAATGAAATATGAGGGTCTAAACGAGTCTAAACTGACACCTGAAGCCCCTGACTGTGAAGCCGTTCTGCCGCCGGGCTGTTCACGTCTGGAAGTCACAGGCTTCGCGCTCTGCAGCAACCCATCGCAGCCTTTTGGGCAGCTTCAGCCGCCCGTCGTGCGAAGTTCCCGGAGCTGGCGATTTCACGCCCTCTTGCCGTCATCTCTTCTCATCATGCCTTCCTTCTCCCTCCCTTTCCCTCCCCTCCCCTCCCCTCCCCTCCCTTCCTTTTGCTCTCTCTCTCGGTGTCTCTGCCTCGCCTGCTCTGAGCTGATGCTTGCCGGCAGCGATCCGCGAAAGGAGTAACCCGGACTGGGGAAAAATGTGAGCGAGGTGTGGAGGCTTAGGCAACGACGCTCTTTTCGAAGGGGAGAGTAGCGAAGTACCTACACAGCCTACGGTCCTACACATCACTCGACTGCCGCCATGTTGTAGAAATGTGGGCACAACATCCAAGACAGCATATTGTAGCCGATTCCCCGAGCTCTGATCCCAATCCTTAAGGCGTTTTGGAAGCCGCTTTTTGGAGCGCTTCGAGGGGGCATTGATGCCGGAAGAGGAGGCGCTGGAGGGACAAGCCTCAGCAGCCATCGACTGCGGTTCGGGGGAGTTGAGCAGGTTAACTAACATACTGGGCAGCTTTGGTGACATTTCACAAACTCTTCAGAATCAAGATTGCTGACTTCCGTCTGTATTTCAGGATGTGCTTAGCTTGTGGGTTCAGCCAGGCCTGTGCCTATGACAGCAGTGTGGTCTTTGGCAGGTGCCGGTGCTGAGCTGCCTCAGCTTCGTGGACACGCCGGGTGTCCTGAGCGGGGATAAGCAGCGAGTGGGCCGCAGCTACGACTTCGAGGGTGGGGAGATCTGCAGAGCCGTTGGGGGGTGTGGAGAATCCGAGATTCCTGGATTCCCTACGACGAGAGCACGTCAGTTAATCGTGCATGTCTGACGGGAGGCGTCATGGGTTGGTTCGCCGAGAATGCCGATCTGGTCATTGTGCTGTTTGACCCCAACAAGCTTCTCGGCTGACACAGCGGTGGGGCAGGCAAAAGATCTGCAAAGTTTGGTCACATGCCATTTCGTCGCTGTGGTCCGTACGAAGTGACAGCTGCGCCCGCCGCCATACGCGATGAAGCTCAACATATTTTCTGTCCGTTGTACGATCTCCGAACTCGTACAGTGGCGAAGCCAGACCCGAGCTCGAGGCTTGACATCAGCGATGAGTTCCGGCGATGTCTGGAAGCACTGGGCAAGAAGAGCGAAAGCAAGATCCGCTTCGTTTTGAACAAGGCACACCATATCCAACGGGGTAAACAAAGAGGTGGAATCCCTGCCTGGCATTCGCCCAGTTCTCGTCCATCCTGTTCTCGACGGTCCTGAGACATACATGCCATATGCCCAATAGAGTCATGTCCCCCCACCAGGCGGAGAAGCTCGACAGATTCGAGCTGGCGCGTGTCTTTGGAGCGCTGATGTGGTCCCTGTCCAAGGTGATCAACAGCCCGGAAGCTCGGATGCATCCAGGCTCAGAGCTGCGCCTTTTACCCTGCTGGTTTTGGGAGCCCAGGAGATGCCGCATGTGTTCCTGAGCCCTGCTTCGAACCAGCTGGACCTCTCGCCAGAGGCTTTGGGTACGCCTCGGTTGGTGTTCCGATAGCACCTAAGTGGAAGGCCTAAGTGCGAGAAGCCATAATGCGCCCACACCAGCTCAGCCGTGAAGCAGTTCACATGCCAGAGTCAAGACAGGTACTAAGTATACTACCATGGAGAGCGCGGCATTCTGTTTGCTAAGTCAACGACGGGGATTTCGGCACGAACTGCTCTTTGACGCTTCCGCAAGTCCTAACAGCAGCAGCAGTCGTCCTTTCTGCAAAGAAGTTGCACTCTCTGCACAGGATTGCACAGGTAGAGCGGAATTTGTAGTAACATGGCCAATCCTGCGTCAAGCCCTTCAGTTGGAAAAGTAGTTCGTAAACGACAAGCCATTGCCCCACAATCGAGAGGCACTTGCCTTCTTCCAGTCGGAGGGCGAACGGCTGAGACACTCGGCCACGGTCCAGATTCGTGAACTTGATACGGATAGAGGGTTGAGAGACCGAGACGTGCTTGCAATGTCGGGCCTTAGGCCTCAGGTGTCTATCAACTGCAGGACATAGAAAGACTAAGGCCTTTTTTGCATCCAGGACTCTCGCAACCAGCCGGGAAACTCCACAAGACAGCAAGTCAACCCTCCAGCAGCACTCGTGGCTACTAATAAAAGCTGAATCCTAGTGAGTCTGCGGCCTGGCTTTGAAGTGGTCAGATCGGAACTGCAGCCCGAAGACTTCCAACGACCGAGGACAGGAGCTTTTTCAGGTGCCCTTGGACAACACAACCCGCAAGGCAGTCGCAAACATACATTGGTCTGTTCGGTCCTAGTCCTAGCAGTCAGATTCCGTCATAGCATCGTATGGGCAGAAGCAGGGAGCAAAGCCAATGCCATTGCAGTCTTCCAGCTTTGCAAACATAGCTGTGCGGAGGTCAACGACCTCCTGCGGAGGGGGCGACTCCTTCGGTGCCATGCTCTGCTAGTGCCTTTGCCTGTTGTAGAGAGCTTTTGGTAAATGAGCTGACGGTCATCGAGAAACTTCTGAACTTCGAAGGCAGAGGCCTAGCCCGGTAGCGTCCATCAACATCTCTTTCTCTCTATCCATGACCTATCCGAGCGAAAGCTCGAAGAGCTTCCGAGGTGCAGCAGCTGCTTACATTGCGGGGGCCTTTCGGACGGCGGAAGGCCAAGCCATGGTGAAAGCTTCATTTTTTGCGGAATCGCTCGATATTGACACTTCGTCATTCAACTGGCTGCCGTAAAAAAGTGAAACTCTCGGTGACTCTGCGAATCCCCGTGCTCTCCGAAGTGGCTTGTCCGTTCCAGTATATGTAGATTTAGGGGAGCTTGCAGCAGCTGCACAACACCTCTTCTCCTCAGCCACGTACAGAGTCGATCGAATCTGTTCGTCTGTGCGCAGACAAGGGGGTAATGTGGCAATAGCACGCAGCATCGTAAGAGGATAATCCAGTGAAGCCGAATTCGTTTGGCAGACGGGTAGCCGTTGGGTATTGCCGTGCCTGTATGCGACGTTTTGGGTGTCAGGTGCTCCGCGAGACGATCACTGACCCTGCAACTTTGACCGCATGATCTCCGATCTCCAATGCATAGCCTGAGAGCTCCAATCTGAGATCAAGCTGGCAGCCGAGTGCGCGAAGGTAGCTCAGGCGGGCATTCTGCAGATGGAGTCTCTAGCCTCTGAGTATTCATGAGCGCCCATGCCGAAAGCTTCGGGAAGGCAGATGCCCGAACTGGTTGTTTTGTGAGCCGTTTTCGGCTTCTTCTCTCTCGCTTGCCCCGTGCTACTCCAGCTCCTTGGCGGCCGCCTCTGCATTCCGACCTGGAGTGTGCGAGAACAGTCGGCTCGGAGAACAGATGATGACAAGTGACTAGCGAGAGATGCTTTGCGGTGGAGCTTGAGGCGTGCATGAGTCTGAGTCGGGGTGCTGCGTTTCTGGAGTCTTCCACATCGAGCTCCTCACCTCACCCCTTGCGCTTAGTTGCGCTTAACACCCGGACGCATCGTTAAGAAAGAACAGATGCAGACTTATTTGCGCTTAACACTAAACCAAGCCCTTGTCACGTGACTTGCCAGTCCAGCGGCATTCCCCTCCAAGACTTCCCATCCGCTGCCGCCTTGTTCCTCGGCCGTGGCAGTGTTGAAAGCTTTGAAGTTAAAGCATGCTGAAGCGCAGTGCAAATAGAAATGCGAAGACATGGAAGGGGCATTGTCATAATCGCGTGAATCGCCGCCAACATCATTCTAGCCTTCTTGCAGGCATCCAGAATCTTATGCCTTGCAAACGAGCAGCCTGCGACGTGATGGCCACCGTGTTGATAACTATGGACATGTTCCTTGCAAACCAAGGACGGCACAGTTCTTGAAAATGGGGGACACGCCCGTGCAGGACTTCAACATGTAGTGCAGACCAGAAGTTTGTCTTCAGGGCCTCTACATACCCGGTTTTCCCAGGCTTCGCCAGACCTTCGCTTGATGCCAATGACAGGAAGTGCCGTCTCCGCTTCTGCGGAAAGCAGAGGTGCGCGGCAAAGCTCTTTTGATTTGGAATGTGGCCTGGTGCATTCCAGCTCAGAAAGCGGGAAGATTTTTTCAGGATGTTTGTTGGAAGCAGGTCCGGCTGAGGCAAAGCCCTCCCCATATATGTTCCTCACGGCAGGAGGCGCTGAGCAAGGACATCCCGGCCTTGCTGGACAGGCACCCCTGGCTTTGCATATTGACATCAGGGCAGTCTCGGCGACCTGCACAACTAAGATTGCGGGAGGTGGCGCGGCTGAGAGAGGGAGAGAGATCAGAAAACACCGGCATGTGCAGCAGCAACAACGACGACAACAACAGCAAACCTCGAATGCAAAGGCATGGCTCCATCCGTTTTTCCATGTCAAGCTTGCAGGATGAAGGGAGTGTGCTGAGTCAAGCAGAATCCCTGGCAGAAAACCATGGCTGCCGTGGCGGTCGCAACCCAAAACTCGCGAAACGCCACCAAAGCGGTATTATGTCTGCCTCTGTCCGATCTCTCCGTCTGTCTATGAGAGACAATCCGATACTTGCACGCAAGACTCGGCCTCCGTGCCCATTCAGCCAAAAAGTTGGGCACATGCACCGTTTGCCATGTGTCCGCCAGAAGGAGTCTTTGCAGAAATGCTGTTGGTCAGGGTGGCTTCTGAGCGAGAGCAGATGATCCAAGAGGCCGCAGCGAGCTGGACTTCGTTTGTTTTGCCGTTTTGCTTTGCGGCTTCCCAACCGATGCAAAGTTAGACCAGCTAAGGCTAAGGCTAAGGCTTCAGTGATTAATCTTGGTCGCCGGGGGTTGTGGTAGTATGCTGGAAGACCTCAGGGCGATCCGATGTCGATTGCCCATGCCCCCTGAAAGCTTAAGTAGGTTTAGGAGCAGAGCTTCTGGTTTGCACTGTCAGGGACTGCCGATGCTTGACCTGCTGCTGGACTCGCGAACGAGGGAGTCCGCAGCTGCAGAGTGAGGGCTATTTCTGACGAGCTTGGCCAAAGATGCCAGACTCAGGTCTCCCGGGAGGGGAATGTACATAGAGGCTAGGGCTTTGTGCCTGGAGCTCCACAATCTCTCATTCTAGATGCGACCACCAAGCAACGACCTTGGTCGGCAGTAGTAAAGGGTAGCTTCGGATGTAGTCGCACAGCTCCCAGTGAGGCAAGCTTCCCCAAATCGTCGATCCGAGGATTCTCTTGGCATTTATCTTGAAGTCCCCCGGACTTGCCGTCGTTGCCCAGTCCGCGTGCGAACCCTGCTTTTCCAAAACTTGCGGGCGAGGAGCTGGGCCATGTTCACGAGCTCCAGCACGAGGTGGCCGAGAAGACATGTCAGAGGCCCAGGGCTGCGGAGGCGGATTTGCCAAGTGGCGACGGGTTGTCACGACACCTCTGCCTTACAAGGTCAGCTCGACGAATTCTCGCGGAAGGCAGTGTGAAAGCAAGAGCGGTAGCAAAGCTAGGTGAAGGTCAGCGGGGCTGCTGGTAGTGGCTGGTAGCGGCTAGTAAGTAAAGACATGATGGCCACCGGGCCAAATCCCTGGAGGCTTCTGCTATGGAGGCCGAGGTTGAAGAGTCTCTTGGCTGGCGGTACTTTGAAAAGCCTGACGGTTCGATCCTTGTAAGACCATCTGCAGCTTCATATTCAAGCTTGCTGCGTGTATCTTGCAGTTGCTGCCAAATTACCGAAATGCTGTTGCCCTTAGTTCACTACGTCTTCAGAAAGAAGTTGGGACCAAGGCTGCAGCATCATCTTGCCGATTCTCAGCAGGAGTGCAACATCGGCCGTGCTGTTGCACTTCTTGCAGCTGCGCACTCCGGAGTTATCCACAGTTGAACTAAGCTTCTATGTCTTTGACTGGAACTGAAATTCCCGGCAGAATCTTTGACTGCCACCGCCGTGATCGCTGAAGGCTCGAAACCTAACCCGCCCGTGAGGCACGTATAGCATAGCAGGCGTACATACAGTGCTGCTCCAAGCCATGCCCGCTTGCCTCTGTGCCGCCGAACCTCTGCTGGACACTCCTTCTAGCCTGCCAGCTGTGCAGCTGCAGCTGCGCATGGTGGAGAGCACCATCGCAAATGCAGAGCACGATCTAGAGGCGTCAGTCAGGGCAGGATCCCGCCACATCTGTTCTCTGGGCAGTCCAGGGCTTCGGTTCCAGTATTGGAGGGAACCAGAGAAGTAGTCTCACTGTCTCACTTCTTCTGCAGGCCAGTTGGCTGAACACCTGCTTCCCGCAGCCGGCTCCTGGCTTCTATGTCGATGAGGTCTCGGTGTCACGAGAAATCGGGGGTGCAGGTATTCTTGGCTAATTAACAGGAGTGGGGCTTCGCCGGCGCGCCCCAACTCCGACGGTGCTCCGAGGTGCCCGCGAGGGGAGCAGCAAAGGGCCATGCCAAGTCCTATACAACAGAGTCAATAGAATGTCAGTAGAGTTCAATAGAGCCTCGACAAAATGTGGACTCTTGGGTATGTGACACTATCAACACGTCGCAGGCCTTGGGTGACTTCCGCGATGCGCGGCAAAAGCTGCCGCAAGCTCAGAGGTGCGAGAGGCACGGCGCGAGCACAGCTTCGAGATTTCTGATAGTTCTCTGCAACGTGGTCTCTGCTGCCTTGTCCTGAGAGGTTACCGCCACCCCCCACCCATCGTCCGACGAAGGGGAGGGGAGGGGGGGGGGGACGTACATGGACGTACCAACTCTCAATGGGGAAGGTACCACCCTGAAGAAGAAGTAGTAGTAGTAGTAGTAGTAGTAGGAGTAGGAGTAGGAGTAGGAGTAGGAGTAGGAGTAGGAGTAGGAGTAGTAGTAGGGCTCTGGGCAGTTAGGATGTCATATCAGGACCGG